TTTTTTATTAATTAATTACGTTCGGCGGCACTCTGGGGGGGTGAACACGAGAGAGAGAAATTTATTTTGATGAAATGACGTGTTATTGAACTGTTACGCAAGTAACGCTTTTTTAGTTAAGTAGGATAATATTGTAAAAATGTTAAAATTGAAAACGCAAATACAACAGAAAAGAAAAAGGAAAAATTTTCAAAATGGCTGCTTTACTATTAAAAACGAATGCGAAAAAAAAAAAGAAAAAAAAAAAGAATTTTTTTTTTTTTTTTTTTTGTAGGCAATTACAATGTAATTAAGACGAGCACGGACTTGACTTTGCGTCTCCGTTGAATGACTAAAATATTTAAGAAAATTATCATCATTATTATTATAAATTTTTGTTTTTGTTTTCTGCTTCAGATTTATAAACATTTGAAATGGTACACGAATCCGTCAGAGCAGCGATGGATAATACGAATATTATTCATCGTACCCATTTACGCATTTTATTCTTGGGTCAGCCTATTGTTTTTCAACAAGGAAAGTTATTACATATATTTCTTCACGGTGAGGGATTGTTACGAAGGTAAGATGACCGTGCGTGAGTGCGTGCGCGGGTGCGTGCAAACATGCTTTCAGTTTGTTGTTTGTTTGCTACTCTTTCTCTTTCATTCTCGTTGCAGCTTTTGTAATATACAACTTTTTAAGTTTGTGTTATGAGTATTTGGGTGGAGAAAGTAACATAATGAGCGAAATAAGAGGGAAACCGATACGGAGCAGTTGCCTCTACGGAACGTGTTGTCTCGTCGGTAAAACATACACGATCGGATTTTTAAGATTTTGCAAACAGGCAACGTTACAATTTTGCCTCGTCAAACCTTTAATGGCGTTCGTTATTATTTTTCTACAAGCGTTCGGACACTATCACGACGGAGACTGGAGGTGAGATAAATATAGAGTCAACGCACTCGAAAAACAAAGATGAGAGAGAGAGAGAGAGAGAAGAAAAAGTATAATTATTTATTTTCACGAGTTTTTTTTTTTTTTATACTTATTCCACAGTCTCGATGGCGGTTATTTATACACGACAATTATTTATAATTTTTCCGTGAGTTTGGCTTTGTACGGATTGTTTTTATTTTATTTTGCAACGAGAGATCTTCTGACTCCGTTCGAGCCCGTATTAAAGTTCTGCACCGTTAAATCCGTTATTTTTTTATCGTTTTGGCAAGGTGCGTCGTTTTTATTCTCTCTTGAAATTTATTTTTTTTGTGGGTTTTGTGTGTGCATTCATGGTGTTTTTGATTTTCAGGTGTGCTCCTTGCGGTTTTCGAAAAGGCAGAAGTCATAGATCCGATAGCGAACACGTTAGGAGAACAAACGACGGCGGGTACCGTGTCGGCGGGGTATCAAAATTTTCTCATTTGCATTGAAATGTTTTTCGCGGCCGTTGCTCTCAGATACGCTTTCCCTTATCAAGTTTACGCCCAAGTTTGTACGACGGATGCGAGAGGAAGGGGAGTCACTATGCAAAGCATTTCGAGCAGTTTAAAAGTACGAAAATTGAGATGGGGAGGGGAGGGGAAGTTTACGATGATGAAATAATAATAATAATGATATTAATTTGATTGTGTTTATTTTTGTTTTATAGGAGACCATGAATCCAAAAGACATTATGACAGATGCCATTCATAATTTTCATCCGCAGTATCAACAATATACTCAATATAGTTCAGGTGAATTTTAATTCAAAAAAAAAAAAAAAAAATCGAATCGAATCGAGATATCGATTATCGATTATTGCTTGCGTTGCATAATATTTATTTATTTATTTTGTATGTTTACCATTTTTTCCATTGTTTTTAATGATCGTTGGTTAATTTTGCTAGTAGTAATTAAAGTGTTGACAGACAAATCGAATGAAAGGAAACGATGTGAAATCATCATTATCATTATTATTATTGTTTTTTTTTTTTTTTTTTTTTACGTATTTAATATTATTATTATTATTATTATTTTGTAAACGTTGTTTGTTGCAGACTTGAATAGCAGTCATCCGTATGAGAAGCTTTGAAATCTTTTTTTAAGATTTTTTTCATCGTTCAGCATGTGGAGAGCATGAATATCAAGTATCATATATAATATAATCAAATAATCATTATTCGAAGCAAAAAAAAAAATAATAATGATAATAATTAACCGTGCTTCATACCTTGCATTTAATCCTTAATCCTTAATTCGTACCTACGCGATTGTGAATTTTTAAACATTCCTCCCCCTCCCCCTCCCCGCCCGATGTTGTTGTGTTATTATCGATTTACAAAGCACGAATTTTCCAACAGCAAAAAAAAAAAAAAAAAAAAAAAAGGAAACAAAATAATTCTCTCTTGTTTAATTTACTTATTTATTTTTTTTTAATTTTTTTTATTTTTTTTATACATGGCTTGATTTGCTTATATATGTATTATTTGATTTGTTGATGTTGTCGTAGAATTTTTTTTTTGTAATAATTATTTGCGAATTCATTCATTCATTCATTCATTCATTCTCTGAAAGTAGAGTTTGATACAATACAGGCATGTTGGTTGTGTTAATGATAAATTGTTTTAATAAATAATAATAATAATTATATATCCTTTTTTTTTTTTGTTTTCACTCGGAAAAGAATTTTAATTTTTTTTTTATTTAATTTTTATTTAAAAAAAACGGCATTTATTATTATTATTATTATTATTATTATTATTATTATTTTATTATTATTATTTTATTCAGTGTGTTACGTGTGTTATTGAACGAGGCCAAAAAGTTTAATTATTATTTTTATATTTTTTATATATATATATTTCGTACCGTTTATCGATTGATAATTATTAATAATTAGTAATTTGATAGTTTTACGGGGGGCCATGAGAGGGGAGGGGAGGTGGAGGGGAGTCGTCGACGTCATTACGTTTCGTTTAATAAAATTTTTTTTCTATTTATTCAACATTCCAACCACATGTAAAGAAAGTAAAGCCATTAAAAAAAAAAAAAAAAAATTAATGGAATTGTTATTAAAAATAAAAATATTATATTACGAGGGAAAACATATTTAAAAAAAATATGATGATAATAATAATAATAATAATATAAACACACGATTTGATTTTGTGCTTGTTATGTTGGGGGGGTTTTTCTATCAGAGTGTAACCTGTTTTAAGTTTGAGGATTTTAATTAGGTTTTTTTTTACCCCCTTTCTTTCTTTTAAATTCTACCCCTTCTTTATCGAATTGCATTAAAATTATTATTATTATTATTATTATCGTTAAATTTTTTTTTTCTAATTTTTTCTGTACCTGACGATTTGATAATAATGACAATATTATACTAGGTTTCGTAACGAACAATTTTTTTTTTAGAACTTAATAGACAAATAATATTTGGGGATCCTGGAATTTTAAGAAACTTATTTGACATAAACTTGTTACCTGGACATAATAATAATAATAATAATAATAATTTATGAATAATTGAGATTTTTTTTTGCCACAAATGAGTATCAAATTGATAAAAATAATAATAATAATAATAAACGGTATAAAAAATATATAAATTTAGTTTTTTATGTTTTATGTTTTGTTATTGTGTGCAATAGTTTTTTTTTTTTTTAGACAACTTTAGGTTTATGTTTAAGTTTAGGTTTTGTACATACCTGAAAAAAAAGAAAAAATTTTCTTTCTACCTGTAAATATTGTCATAATAAAAATATGGAATTGGGAAAATTTAATTTAATTTTTAAATTGTGATCATAATTTTATTATTTAACGAAAAGAAAAGTTTAGAATTTTTTTTTTTTTATGTATTTTTTTTATATTATCTATAATGTTTATTGATTTTAATAATAATAATAATAATAATAATAATAATAATAATAATAATAATGCAGAGATACGAGGTATCATTATCAATAATATAATTTTTAGTAATATTAATTACAATTATTATTTAATTTAATTAAAATAGTGATTGATTATATATATATATTTGTACTTAATTAGATTATTGTGATTTTTCTTTTTATTTTTTTATAGTTTTAAATAAAACAAATAAATAAATTTAAAAATTTATTAATTTTTGGACGTTGATTTCGTTGTTAAAAAAAATAAGGGATTAAGGGTTTCCCTTTGTGACAAAAAAGTGGATCGATTGATTGATTGATTGATTTATTGATTTATTTTACAGCCGGAGGATCACAAAGAGGTATAAGAGTAGCTAATTATGATATAGATGATCCAAATCAAGGTAGTACCAACGGTAGCCAGGTACAATCTTCGCATTTTCCAAGATCACACAGGGCTCCAAATAATCATAATCAACGCGTTGCCACGGTTAGTCAAAATTATAATGAAAAAACTATGCTTTTAAGTTCTGATGATGAATTACAATAGAAGAAAACAAACAAAACAAACAAACAACAAACAAACAAAGCAACATTAATAGATCAATTTATTATTATTATTATTATTATTCGTTGATTGATTAATAATTATTTTCATATAAATTTTTAATTGTAAAAATTAATTAATTTATTTATTTTATTTTATTTTTTTCTTATTTTGTTGTAATAAATGTTAAATAATTTGTTTTTATTTGTTTTAAATTGTTTATATTGTTTTCCCTTATTTTTTAATTTTTTATAAATTTATAATTAAAAAAAGGAAGTGAAAAGGTTTGAAAAGGTATTTTAAGGTCGATAAGGTATTTTATTATATTTATAAATAATCATTTTGTTTATATTAAAAAAGTTAATTGATTGAAATGGATATATTTTTATCTGTTAATAATTATTATTATTATTATTATTGATAACGTGTAAAAAAAAATAAAAATGAAAAATTTAAATATATATATATATATATATTATTTATTTAAAAGTAAGTTAATAACATTTTATTAATTTTAAATTTTTACACTTAAGGAAAAAAAGAATATTTAAATGTCCGTTATATATATAAAAGTTCGTTAGACAAAGTTTAGTCGTGGCATTAGAAAACGTTTAAAAGGTGAGAACGTTAAACAAATTTGAAATTAATAGTCGGCCTTGTTTAAACTAAAGTATGGTTCCTCGTTGAAAGAAACACAAAAATTTATATTTTTCGATTCAATTTGAAATTAAAATTTAAACTGCTAAATAAAAAGTGCAATAGTTATGAAAAATTTTGTAACCTCAATGCAGGTATTTAATTTTAATAAAATAATTTTATACAATTTTTATCCGACATTTAAATAATTTAAATTAAAAATTAATGCGAAACAGTTGAATAACAATCACGTTTTACCACATATATGTACATATATATATATGTATTATTAATGTTACGTTTTATTTTTGACTATGTTTTTTTTTTTTTTTTTTTATTTTATTGTAAAATAGGGTCTTTTGGTTTTGATATTTATGAAATATCGTTATCATGAAAACAGCTGGACTGACAACAAAGCAATTGCAAAGAATTGAAAGAAAAAAAAAAAAAGCTTTAGCTTATTTAGCTATAGCTAAGTTAAATGATCAGGATAGGTATGAAAAACAGGTAAATTTGATTTTTTTTTCTATCGAAAATCATATCGCATACCATAATGATTGATTGTATGTAAATTTTGAAATGTTTATTTTATTGTATAGATGAAACTAGCAGAAAAAAAAGAACAAATGTCTGATGATTCAGATGATTCTGTTTATTCTAAAGTTAATATGATGTCAGGAGATGGGCCTTCTAGAAAACGGTTAAAAAAAAATGGGTCGGAGATGGTAACTGATACTAAATATTCTGATGTATCAGTTGTCGAGCCAGAAAATAATTTTCCTAATAATAATAATAATAATAATAATAATAATGTAAATAATGAAAATGAACAATTGGTGAGTATTTTTTAAATACAAATAAATTTTTTTGCATGGAAAAAGAATTATCGATTTAAACGATTACGACAATGAAATAAGAGTCCAAATTTATGAGCCTTGTTTATTTCTCCAGTCTTACACTATGAATTCTTGTTATAATTATCCCTGCACAGAGGATCCATACTTTAATTACTATAATTCCCCAATAGAAGACCATGTTTATCAAGAACCATTTATAGAACCTTATGAAGTTTCTTCTCCCTCGCAAGAAAATCAAACATACAATAATTCTTTTTATCAATATCAATCATTCGAAGTTAGAAGACATCATAATTCTGAAACTTTTTATTATAAAACAGATGAAGAATATTATTCTCTTCCGCTTGAAAGTCCTATTGAGGGGGGAAAATTTTTAGGACCATTGGATGGATTTAATTATTTCAAAAAGGTGAAGAACCACCTTTATTAGTCCTGAATAGAATAATAATATTAATTTAATTAATTTTGGGGGGGGGGGAAAAAAAAAAAAAAACAATTACAGAATCAAGAATCTGTTAAAACAAATGGGAAACCGGAACAATTGTCAGGAGAAGCTTATGAGCAGCTTAAAAAACAATTAAGAGAAAGGAAAAAATTTTTAAAATGTCTTCCGAGAATAATATTAAAAGAAAGCGGTGAACGTGCATCATTAGATACTGATAAACAAGATAGAATACCACTTTTCCTAAGTGATATACAAGATCTATTAGTGTATTGTCAAACCGAACACACATATTACAAACCCAGATGGTAAGATTTGAATGAATTACATGATGATAATTTGAATTTTTTGTTTTCGGTCGATTAATTGGAAATTCATTTAAACAGGTGTAACTTTGAAAAAGTTAATCGTCTTACAAAATGCATCGTTTTGATAGTGGAAGGTTTTTCTTGTCAAGATCTTAATGCAAATGATACCACGCTATCCATATTGAAAAATAATTCTTTTATAAAACTCGAAATTCTAATGCCTGCTGCTTACAATAGTAATCTTGTCGAGGAACTGAGCACAGTTCCATTCTGTCCATCTCAACAAAGAAAACTCTTTGAAGAATACAAAACGATCGATAACACATTGAAGAACAATCTTCACATTCGTTATAAAGTTTTAAGAGCACTTTTTCCGGTTTCAATTCAAAATAAAAGAAGCGAAGAATTACCCAAATGTGATAAATTTCCAAGAACCGAACTTCTTTTGTCCGCATGGCAAATGCTTGAAGAAAATTATCCCGTACCATTGAAAGAACCCTCGAGAAACAGGTAGGGGGGGGGTTGATTAAATGGAGTCAGGTTTTTGTTCTTTTAACAAGTAACTTTTCTTTTTTTTTTTTTTTTTTCTCGTCTGCAGATATCAAAATTACGTACAAACAAAAAGTAAATATACAGAAGTCACGCCTTCGTCACCAATGTTTGCTATTGATTGTGAAATGTGTAGAACCGTGACGGGTCAATTGGAATTGACGAGAATATCGGTTGTGAATGAAAATTTAGAAATTGTTTATGACACTCTCGTTAAACCTTTTAATAAAATAACGGATTATTTGACTCGGTTTTCGGGTATCACGAAACAAATCCTCGATCCCGTTACCGTACGTTTAACGGATGTACAAAAAAAAATAAGAGAAATTTTACCACCCGATGCTATACTCATTGGACAATCTCTTAATTGTGATTTACACGCAATGCAGGTACGATTTGATTTGATTTCTCGAATAGAAACCTTTTCAGGTATCATATATTAAAAAGAAAAACCTTTTTTTTTTTTTTTTTTTTTTCAATCAGATGATGCACCCTTACATAATTGACACCAGTGTCATATTCAACATAACGGGTATCAGATCAAGAAAAACAAAATTGATGACTTTATCCCGTGAATTCTTAAGTGAAAGCATACAGGATTCATCATTGGGTCATTGTTCAACCGAAGACAGCTTGGCATGCATGAAATTAGTCAAATTGAAATTAGCGCACAGTAAGGAGCGGGGGGGAGGGGGGGATTTGTTAATAATTTATGTAAGAGAATAATTCATCGAATTTTTTTTTTTTTTTTTCAGGTATCGAATTCGGTGATGCAGTTTTAGTTGGACGTCCCAACACGGAAGTACAATTACAAGAAATTCAATCTCAAAAAGAAATGAGAATAAACGAAGTCAACAACACCAAAGTTCGTCACGAGGATGACGGTCAATTAAGCACGACATTATTATTTCAAATAGCAAACGCGGATAAAAAGGGTGTGATAGTCGGTACTCAGAAAATCGTCAACGGTTATTCAAATTTTCAAGCAAATAAAAGTCATAAGAAAACAAAGACAAACATACGGGGATTGGTGGCGGAAACGGACAAAAGCATAATGACACGAGCAAGTGGAGCCGTTTCGGAAAACGATTTCATTATATCTCACATACAATTGAAAGATTCGGAAGAAAAAGATGAGAACAAGGAGAAAACTATAAAAAAAATAAACAAATGGACGAAAAAAATATTACATTTAACGCCGATAAACGGAGTGAGCATGATATTAATTGGAAATGGCTCGCGGGGTACTTGTTTTATACACATAAACAGGCCACCCGCCGCAGTATCCGCTGTATCCTAAATGAAAATTACATTAAATGCCTGGAATTATAATAAAAAATTATTTAAATAAAAAAAAAAAAAAAAAAAAAAAAAAAACTATACAACTCATATACTTATGTATATATTTATATATATACATATGTATATTTGGAATAAAAGTAGTATATGTATAAACTGTGTACACAAAAAAAATGATATATATATATATATATATATATATATATATATATATATATATATATATATATAATGTATAACAAAAAAAAAAAAAAAATTATATTAAACTGGAATAAAAGGAAAATTTATGATTCCGTCAATTAGATAAATGCGAACATGATATTATGGTTATTTACATAATGTATCATAACAATAAATAAATATATATTGTTTTTTCATTTTTTATTATTATTATTATTATTATTAATTTTATTTCATTAATTAAAAAAAAAAGACCGAAATGAAATTTTTTATTGCGGTCCGATAAAAGAATCACTAATCAATAATCGATAATCAATAATCAATAATAGATTAATGATTTTTATAAAAAAAAATTTATCACAATTCATCACGAAAGACAAAAAAGAAAGTTACTAAAATTACAATTGATTTATAATCAGGGGGCGTAGCTCAGATGGTAGAGCGCTCGCTTAGCATGCGAGAGGTACCGGGATCGATACCCGGCGCCTCCAAGTGTTTATTTTTTTTTTTTTTTTTTTGTTTTGTCCGTTACGTTTTTTTATTATTATCTACTTACTATAGTAAAAATTTCTAAATTTGTATTTTTTATATTTAGAAAAATAATAATAATAATAACTAAAGCAAAAAATTAAAAAAAAAAAAAAAAAAAAAAAATTTTATTTGGTGCGATGGCCGGGAATCGAACCCGGATCAACTGCTTGGAAGGCAACTATGCTCACCATTACACCACCATCGCAACATGACATTGAGTGTATAATATTAAATATTTAAAAATACTTTTAACCCACTTTAAATTTCTTTTTCGACAAAAATTATATGGATTTGTTTTAAGTCATTTTAAAACGGCATTAATATAAAATTTAAAATAATAATAATAATAATAATAATAAATTACTCGTATTCTGATGTCTACGAAATACATATATATTTAATTAAATTCACATTCACATCTGTCACTTAAAATAACAACAACGACTTATATATATTTATTAAAACAAAAGAACTCCCCCCCTTTTTTTGTATGAATTAAATTCATTATTTTTACAGGCTACTAAACTCCCTCTTTTGAATCTAATTAATTTTTTTTTTTTTTTTTTTTTTGCAACTTATTGCGTGTAGTTTACAATATTTTTTTTAAATTGCTAACAGTACCAAATTCCTGTCGCCATTAAGTCGACGATAACCGAGATATAAATTTTTTTTTTTTTTTATTTAACTCTTAAAACAAAAAGAAAAAAAAAGTAATTTAACGTACGTAAGCACACAACAAACAAAAACATTATTATTATTATTATTAATTCAGGTTTTTTATTTACTGTAAATATTGGTACCAATAATTATACAATGACGTATTAATATGTTTACATAATAAAAACCTGATAATGGATGTGTGAAAGCATTGATATTATATTGCGTAAATTCATTTGTTTCTTCAACGCCCGGCTAGCTCAGTCGGTAGAGCATGAGACTCTTAATCTCAGGGTCGTGGGTTCGAGCCCCACGTTGGGCGAAAAAAAAATATTTTTTTTGATAATAATTAAGACATTAATTAATTTTTTTTTTTTTTTCGATAATTAATATAAATATTTAAAGTCTTAATAAATATAAATTAAAAAAAAAAAAAAAAAAAAAAAATTAGTTTTTGTACGATCGTATAAAATTTCACAATGGAAAATTTCCATTCGCGTTATTCCATAAAAGAAAAAAAAATTTTTTTTTTTTTTGTTTTGGTTTGTTTCTAACGTAGCAACAAGAAAAATCCTTGAAAAAGGACAAAAAATTTTTATCGGACTGTGTTTAACGCATCTTTTCAGCGCATATGCCTGTCGGATCAATATGGAAAATCCTTTTGGAAAAAAAAGAAAAGAAAAAACCGACACGTAAAACACGAGGTTAAATCCTTTTTTATTCTTCCATCCAATTTTACGAAAGATTTATTACAATAAAACAACAAAAACAAAAAAGTAAAGTAATTTATAATATAACTTAGAAAAAAAAAAAAAAAAAAAATTTTTTTATATTTTTAACAACAAACGCCATGAAAACGAATTTTTTTTTTTCTCATTGAACGAATTTCAATTAACTTTATGTAATTTTTTTTTTATTTGTCGTCGTCTTAGTCGTCGTTTAATTTATCGATTACCCATAAAACGAAAAGAAGCTTTAATTAGAAAAAAAAAAAAAAAAAAAAAAAATGTCGTTAATTAAAAATTTTTTTTTAAAAATCTCATTTCTTATAAGATTTAAAACTTTTTTCCTTTTATTAAAGGGAAAAAATTAATTTTTAACAAATACCTATCGATTATTATTATTATTATTAAATAAAATCTTCCGCCATTTTTACAAGGGACAAAAAAAAAACCGCAAAACATGTTCGTATCAAACATTTACACACATAATAATAATAATAAAAAATAATAATTATTCGCCCAACGTGGGGCTCGAACCCACGACCCTGAGATTAAGAGTCTCATGCTCTACCGACTGAGCTAGCCGGGCTAGTGGTATTAATTAAAATTACCTCACGTAAACTGGATTTAAAAAAAAAAAAATTGTCCTAAACAATTCTTTCAAGAATCGACCTTGCTCGATATACCTGTCAGGTATCAGTTAATGATTAAGTACCATAAGAGAGGAAACCTTGTTACAAATGTAACACTTGATGCCATATCACTCACACACACACACTCTGAACAAACAGAAACAAACAAATTTTCTTTTTTTTTTTTTTTTTTCAAACCTAAAAAGTTTACAAAAGGAAAATTAGTTAGTTTAAAAACACAAAAGAAAAAAAAAATTAAGTGGAGTTGGTTGTTGTTGTTGTTGTTGAATGAGATTTTTAAATTATTTAATAAAAAAAAAAAAAAAAAAAGTTTTTCTTCTGCAAAATTTTCCTTTTTTTTTTTTTTCAAAAAAAAACTTTTTCTTAATTATTTATATATTATTAAAAATTTATAAAGATTATTAATAATTAAATTTGTCAAATGTTTTCTGTATGAGACAAAAAATGTAATCTTATTTATAATTAAAAGAGAAAAATTGATTTAAATTAAACAACAACAACAACAACAACTTTAACAGAATCATTTGTTATTATTAATGCTTTCCAGCAGAAGAAAATTTAATGAATTGAATTTGTTTTTTTTCTTTCCCCCCCCCTCCCCCATGTTTATCCAACCGCCATTTTTTTTTTTTTTTTTAATTTTTATAGTTAAACACCTAACCTAAAATTATTAAAATTTCGATTAATTTTCTTTCTTTAATTCTGTTGTACGATGATAATAAAGAAAAATAAAAAAAAATTTTCTTTTTCGTGTAAAAATCGTGTAAGGAGGAAAAGAGTCGATGTTAAAAGTAGGGCAACACATTTAAAAAAAACTTTCTCATTATGAAAGCTAAACGTGTGCGTGAAAGGGGTTCATCTCAGCTGGAACGAAATCGCACAAACTCAGATGGAGCTTCGATCGCCATTAAACTACGACGACAGTCGGGTGAGCAACGGGTTAGATACACGCGCGTTTACCCCGTCAGTATCAGTTTTTATTTTATTTCAAAATTCATTCTTTTTTTTTTTTTAAATTAATTTTATTATTATTATTATTTGTTTGTTTTATTTATAAATAATACGATTCGTAATTTTTTCTGAACATTAAAAACTATACGAATTTGATTACAAAGGTCTGAACAAAGTAAAAAAAAAAAATTTTTTTTTTTTTTCCGAATATCGATTATCATTTTAACGTATAAAAAAAAAAAAAAAACAGGCGGTGGTTTTTTTAAACGCTTTTAACGAACTTTTCGTTTTCGAAAAAAATTTGTTTTATTATTTGTGTTTATAATTATTATTTTATTATTATGTAATTATTTAAGTGTCGTTATTCAAATCAATAATCATCATCAATCGTTCAATCAATCATATTTTGCAGGTAATGTGATAATTATATTAATTGATAATAATTGTTTTTTTTTTTTTTTCGAATAATAAAAACACCGCGAAAATCTTTATATATGGTAATAATTTTTAACGGCCTCCATTTTATACACCTGTCGCGAATAATTAAATTTTTTGCATTAAAAAACCCTAATTCGTTTGATATTTACGTTATTTATCATTATTATTATTATTATTATTATTTTAACGCCATTTTCGAAATATTAATTAATTAATTAATTTAATGAAATTTTGTAATGCAATCACATAAAATTCCATCAAATGATGTTCGTTGAAATAAAATGGCGCCATATTTTAAATTTGAAATAACGTTCTGGAATTATGTTTATGCGAGACAGTACGATCGTGGTTGTAGAAATATTACGTCACGTTTATGCATTTTGTCCGTTAAAGTATTCGTTATGTCGTTTTCATAATAATAATAACGTTTGCGTTTTATTTTTAATAATGATATTTTTTCGTTAATTAATTAAAATACGGAAACGGAAATGAGTAAATTTTATTTTTTTTAAATATATTTAAACGTTCGGGATTTGATAAGTAATGAAATTCGCCATTTTTTTTTTTTTGGTAATTCTATGTATTCGGTGGGCAAATTTAACGTTTTTTTTTTTATTTAATGTAATTCTGTCGGATGTTTGTCTGTCGCGAGGGAAAATTTTTAAAAATTAAATTTTGAAATGTTCTCGAATGATCTCATCGAAAAAATTCATAGAAATTTACTGAAGAACAAACCGAAAAAAAAAAAAAAAAAAAATTTTTTTTTCAAATGAATATTTTTGCCACAGAACAAACAAAAAACGGTCAGCTAACCAACTGGACACATGCCAAACATAAAAAAAAAGCTTCCGTTTGTTTTTTGTTTGTTT